CACACCAAATTACTGACATTAACTTTCTGTTTCGAGTTAATATTCTAATAACGTATATTAGGATATTATCGCAAAACAAAACACAAAGTAACTGTCAGTAAATTTTTTTTCGTTGTTTTGACACCGCCTGATAACACTAGTAAATAACTATCGACTGATATATAATCTAGGATGTCCAACTATTTCGATGATTCATAATCATATAGGCAACTCTTAGAAATCCTATTGTAAGGATCATATTATAGATATTGCATGATGGCATAGTCATATCGGCCGATATTTTTTCCACTCTTTTAGCATGGTTTAATAGATCTAATATAGACAGCTATCGATTGGAATATCAACTGGTTGGTGATGTATCTCGATAATCCATAACGAACACCCTTCAGAGGAGTGAGTATTCATAGCTTATAGCAGTATATTGTGCCAACAGGCATATTAGCTTATGTGATATCATGTATTTCTCAGTGTGTTCTCGTACAATCTATGATGCACAGTGTTCATGGATCGTGTTGCTCTTACGTTCATGATTTAGCCTTGTTCTCTTGCTGTCGTTATGCGCTTCTCATTGTGTAACGCCATTCAATCGTATTCTATAATGTTCCTCTATGTCTGTTCTCTCCTTGACCTCATCGCATATAGACGTGTCCTTGGTATGTAAAAGATACGATTGCGCAATGTTCTGTTATATCATTCCTCTTTCCTTTCTTCTCTGGGATTGTATTCTCTTTTCTCTCTCTTCTCTCCCATCCCTCTTCTATATAAGCTCATGTTATGTATTAGATAATTACATTTGGATGTAGGCACATTTGGATGTAGTGCACTAGCCGAATAAACATCATGCCCACAATGGGATCAAAGACATTTAATGTGCCTCTCCATTTGTCATAACGATAGTGGAATGCACCAGTAGCTCATTAACATCAATGCCCAACCAGTGGTAGAGCTGCATTCACCATTTTCGTTACATATATGACCATTAGGTATAAATAGCGTCGCAACTGGTTATGTCATGTTCTATCAATCTGATTTTAGTAGTAAAAATTTTGTTAGACCTAACGTTACTATTTAGTGAGGAAAAATCGAGATTTATGAAGAGAGTCGATTTAGCTTCTTAATGATTCTCCTCATAGTTCCATCAACAGCTATTCAGTCACTCGGTGATGGAAATGAATTACAAAGTAATTCAAAATTTCTCTAATATATGGAAGAGAATTATTTAAGGGATCTATTAACATATATATATATATATATATATATGTATATTGTTTACAAACTCAGATTCTTGAAAACAATGAATCTAAGTGAGCAAAAACTAAGTAAGGATGGACGACACGAGTAGTCCGAAATGTTAGAATACCCGTTAGATCTAGTCTGATGCGTCTTGGATACTTCTTATGAATTGTCACGTTTAGGAGCGTCTGAACTCATCCAGATCACCTTTGAACTCATTCATTTCTAGCCCATTTTGTCCATTAACCTCGCCTAGGCTAGAGTCAGTATTGGAGTACATTTTGAGATAAACACTAAACAAGTCGGATCGACACGACTAGAAAATGAATTAGACATTCAATCCGTCTTTTGCTGATTTGAAAGATTAGTACATTGTTTTTTTTTGATAAACTTACTATCAGACTGTAAATTATTTGAAACATCAAATAAATGTCGATCCATGTTGAATTGTATGTTGTGATGACTCGATGATGTATTACTATCCATATGATTCATTTCAATTTATTATTCGTAGAATTGTTCTAAGTAAAAAAAATTGAATTACGAGTTTATACAAAACATTGATAATAATTCTCTTCAATGAGTTTTGTATAAAGTAAACGAAAGATTTATCGAAGACTAAGATAATCACTCATCTTAATTTCTTTTTTTTCTTTTTGTCTATGGCAATACTTTATCTTATTGTCGTCAATAGATTTTTTTTGCTCTAAATGGTATGTGGTTACCTTTATATATTTATTCAGTAACTTGATTATCTTATTTTTCTGTATTCTGATCTTTTTTTCTTCTTATGTATTTCGTTTCTCTATTACTCTTTGGACTTGTTCTTTTTCTTTGAGACTCTTTATTTTATATCTCATTGAAAGTATTTATGTCATCTACACTATTCAAAAATATTTCATTCCAAAACAACTAAACTACAAGATTTTTCCGGTTGCTTGAATAATATATAAATCTATGAATATTCTGTCTAATTTATATTTTATGATGACGAATTTGAGAAGAGCAAAATTCGTATAAAAAAATCTAATTGCAGATCAAAAGGGATGCCTCTCAGCACTGTATGGAATGGCAGACTCCTGCAGATATAAAACATCTGTAACTAGAAAATGGATCTTAACAGAATTTTTATTGATGTTGAGAGTGAGGGTGGGTAAGGTGTGGATTGCTGCGAGTGAAGGTGAGGGTGAGGATTAACGAAAGACTATGGTGGGGGGGTGGGATAGGTGTTTTTCTGGTCTACATCAACATCCACATCCACATCCACACCCAATTTTTCTCGATTTTCTTACTCCTGTAGATGTATTTATTAAAGGAAATAAATCGATGATACCTCAATATCTTAAACTATTTGACTACTAAAGCAGCATGTGGGAAAGTGATCAACGAAAATTTGGGTTGGGCGTGTGAGTGTATATTTGGGTGACAGTGTGGGTGTGGATGAGCTCTTCAATGACACCTGCACTCACATTCAAACACACATTCACACATCCACACCCTATCAAAATATTATGATCCAATTGAAATATTTCCACATAAGGTCGACGAACTTTTCGAACGAATTAATAAAAGTAAAAAATCTCTTGTTTATACTGGATATTTGTTTGATTTTCGAAAATTGTTTAGCTCTACAAGGATCAACCATCAATATACCACGAAAAGATACAAACGTCGATCTCTGAATTTATTCTAACTTGTGAATATAATCTCGAAATCTAATTGACGCACTTCATTTAACTAAAAGAATATTTTTATCAATACGACGCTTATTTGAATATATTGTATTGTATGCTTTCGTTAATCTATAATTTATAGAATACTAATAAACATGAAGTGTCAAAATGTTTCTGTTTGTTGATGAGAAGACACATTCATTGTACCAGTCTGAACATGGGCTTTTCAATTATCGATTAAGTCGACATAAAACAATAAAATAGGTTACTTTGTGTTAATAACAATTAAAGAAATGTAAGGATATAAAAGCTATATGCTCAAAACACTTCTATTGATACGTACGGTTACATAAACGATAATCTAATAGTCACTCGTAAAGAAAAAGTAACATATTATGATCAACATTTCTCAGAAGGGCGGAATTGGGAAGCATATAGGATAGTTCTATGGTAAAGTGTTAACTCTAGTCAATATGCTAGTGTAGTTAGTTCATCCTGTGACTCGAAGTTTCTTGAAATTGGATCAGAACTCGGCAAACTATTCAAAGTATTTTTGCCCAAAGGTTCAGCACTCGAAGAGTGTGGGTGGATGTTGCTATCGTTCTGGTTTTTGATATTCTCTGTGCATATTGACATCCACACCCTATTTTAAGTGAGAACGGATCATTTTTGAATACGATTCAAAATATCAAACGAAAATATTTTTTGATAAGAGACGACTAAATGAAAACAGTGTCTTTTTTTTCAAAGGATTACTTTAAAAGACAAGGTGAATATGAATTTATTCTGGCTTAAAACGTTGATGACTAACATTGGTTACTTTAGTAAATATTGATAATCTGACGTCATATCTGCCTACCTTTTTTTACAGTATACATGCATACGTTTTATTCATTTTGAATCTTAAGCAAGACCTATAAATCGAAAAACGCACATGTTTTTTTTTCTGTAAGTAAAGAGAAAATAGTGCATCTGATCTTCACTGGTTTTGTTTCGTTCTGTCCAGAACAATCATTGACTAATTCAAATTGCGAATCAGTTTTTTCATTTTTTCTTTAGTTGCATAGACCTCTACAATGATTTGCATATGATACAATCGTAATTTGCTATCATCATTACTATAATACAGTCGAGAATCACTTGTTGCCCATCCTATCGCTACTTAAACCGTTCAACTAAGAACGATAATGATTGAAGAACAAGACATATTCCAACTACAGGTAGGTTGTGTTATTCGTATGTCTTCAAAACTCGAAGTGTGGTTATTCAAGTGGCTCAAATTTTAAAGTCACTGTTCATCGAACGATGTAATTTCAGATATTAAACAGAGTTTTTGATGACGTTAGATGGATTTATGAATGATTGTCAGGCATGATTCTATATTTGATAGTTATTTTAGCCTAAACTTTGTTCTAAGTGAAAATCAATCATGAAATTCCCTTGGGAAGCAGGCAATTATACGAATTTCTTTGGAGTTACTGACTCATTATAGACATTCCATGAATAGTCATAACTGAGCTTTGGACATTTATGTATTTCTCTTTTTTTTTGCAATTCCATAGTTTTAGGTTGAAACACCACCATTAAAGTCCACCTTGGAGCAATTACCAAATGAATTATTAATCTGCATATTTGAATTCTTATCACACTGTGATCTCTATTGTGCTGTGTACAATTTAAACTCGCGCCTCAATAAAATATGTCATATCCTAAAATTATACTTAGATTTGACGTCAACAAAATTTGCGTTTAACGATTATTGTTCTAGTCAACGACCATTGTCATCACAGGTCTACAGTCTAAAATTATCAGACGAATATGATCGTCTGACATTCTTTCATCAGCTTACTGATACTAGCATTTTCACAAATTTGAGAGCATTGACTATTGTGGATCCATCTCCGGAAAATTTTGGTAAGATTTGTAGCCATTGAAAGATTGAGATAGTAATGTCTGATTTCTATTTTAGATAAAATAGTGTCAAAATTACATTTATTATTACATCTATCCTACTTGAATATTAATAAAGCACTGGCCCAATCGATCCATATCACAACAGCTCTATTTTCATTACAATCATTGAAATATTTGATTATGTATTCAGTTGAACCCATTATTTTCGATTTTACTCATGATACTATTTGTCCATTGACTTTACTTGAATATTTAGAAATCGATGGTTGTTATATGGTGGAGTTTTTAGAGTTGCTCAAATATGTAGGTTCAAATATAAAACGAATGAAAATTCATATAAATTATCGACGTGATCAAGATCCAGAATCAATCGATGAAAAAATAATTGATAATCTACTTTGTGGTGATGATGGACAACCTCAAATACCACGTAAGAGAATTAGAAACAAAAGTACTTGATCAGAAACAGTCGACATTCTTGTAGTGAGAAAAACTATGACCTATTAAAAAATTGAGTTTCATTTGAAAGAGCAAAAAAACAATACATAAATCTCATAGAAAGGAAAGCTGTTGAGTTCGATTGACAAAGAAGTTATTATCTATCAGAAAAGAAAAATAAATCATATCTACTATCCATTTCAAAATAGAAGATGGGTTAGTGCAAGTTGAATAACTCGAGAACGTCAATAGCTAGAGAGCTGCGGTTTTTACCAATAGAAAGAGGACACTGGGGACGTAGATTTATGAAAAAATTCCATTAGTTAGTACTGGACCAATAGGATGAAAGTTCGCTGGACATTTTGAAAATAGCTTTTGGGACGCTTTTTTTGGTTGGATTTTGAACTTTAATTAAACCATTCGATAGAAAAACTTGTTCTCTTTTGATCTACGCAAGGCCGAGCTCGATAGCTTGCTTTATTCGGCAGCTATTGGCATTTTCCTGAGACCCTCGAAATTGGCCAGGTGACATGGAATTACCCTTAAAAGCATTAGATTATAGGTAACCGACCACGCTGAGTTCAGTGGTGATGGTTGTTTTTCACTTCAAACTAATCTGAGATCATTATAGCAAAGTTTTCGAAAATCTAGGTTTTGCTGCTTATTGGCTTAAAGAACAGATATATCAAAAATCTCGATACAGCTGTTTCAAATTAGTTTGAAATGAAAAACAACCATCACCATTGAACTCAGCGTGGTCGGTTACCTATAATCTAATGCTTTTAAGGGTAATCCCATGTCACCTGGCCAATTTCGGGAGTCTCAGGAAAATGCCAATAGCTGCCGAATAAAGCAAGCTATCGAGCTCGGCCTTGCGTAGATCAAAAGAGAACAAGTTTTTCTATCGAATGGTTTAATTAAAGTTCAAAATCCAACCAAAAAAAGCGTCCCAAAAGCTATTTTCAAAATGTCCAGCGAACTTTCATCCTATTGGTCCAGTACTGACCAATGGAATTTTGCATAAATCTACGTCCCCGAGTGTCCTCTTTCTATTGGTAAAAACCGCAGCTCTCTAGCTATTGGCGTTCTCGAGTTATTCTACTTGCACTAACCCATCTTCTATTTTGAAATGGATAGTAATCATAGATCGATTCTATTTCTTAAATTAGAAAAATGGTTCAAAACATGAAAATTTGTTGATATTTTTTTTCTGTTTCTATTTGTTGGTCTAGTATCATTAAATCATCTTCATATGTCGTTTTATTATTTATCATTAATGAATTTTCAACTTGTTTTGAAATTATTTCCCAATCTAAGATACTTAACATTATCGACATTAAATGATGATTTGAATTTTGTGTCGCCAACAATCTGGCATCAATTTATTTCGAAAAATCTTTTAAAATTGGAAAGATTTCAATTTCACATACGAATCGATGGCAATTTAAGTACGAATTCACGATTAATGAGTAAAAACAATCCGACCATATCTTTTTCTTTAGATCCGAATATAGCCCAAAGTTCATTATCGGAACTTGTCTATTTATTTAATGATATGAATAGACAATGGATCAACAGTCCTATCATTATAGATTATAATTTTCAATCGGATCCACCATTACACGAATTCTATACCTATTCACAACCCTCACATGATGGTAAGTATATTGTAGAATTCTATGGTACAAAAAGACATATAGCACCGAGTAATGATGCAATTAATATTGATAAAAATATGACAAGATTAAAAATTACATTAAATGACGATCAACTATTAGCAAACGAAATATTGACTATTTATCCGAAAGTAACAGCAATCAATGTTCATTCGCAAATGACAACAATTACAATTGAAAATGATTCGAAAAATAGGTACAACAGGCAAATTTATTCGAATAAAATTTCATATCATATTGTTTAGACTTGATAAATAAGTAATTTGAAAAAACACGATCAGTTCTAACTACATACAGTTGAGAAGTTTCATAGTTATCAGACAAAAATTTTTTTGATATCAGGAGACTTATTCGAGGAATGGATTTCAAAAAATCTGTATATAACGATGAATTAGTTTTTATCTTATTTAGTTTGATTTGTTCTGATATAAAGAAATCTATCCCTGATTTATCCACAGTCACCATACTTGATTTTACAACTCATTCACCAACCAATTCAGTTTATCCATCAACAACTTTTGCACATTGTCTTTTGGTGACGTTGCCAAATGTTAGTAGTCTTCATTTACCTTATAATTATTTACTTCAACTCGTCAAATCACCACTAATAACACAAGAATTAGCCAAACAGATAGATTGTTTATGGATTACATGTTATAATAGTCCGCCATTATTTGAAGATATGATTCGAATCTTAAGTATATTTTCGAAGAATTTACGTTTTCTATATTTTGACATGTATATTGATTTTCCATATGTCACATTTTACCTTATTTTACCATTATTAATGCGCGGAATATGTACCGAACTGATGATGTTTCAAGTGCAGCTAGAGACACAAAATGGACAACAACAACAACCGTCAACATTTAATGAAGAATTTAAAATATGGTTCAAAGAATGTTTGACGACATTATCTAAAGTTAATGAAAAACGATCGACTTCAATAGAATACAAAATTAAAGATGAACAATTTGTTATTTCTTTTTGATTCAGATAAAAATGTCTTATTGCTTTTAAGCTAGAACAACGTATTATCATGTTGTTTTATTGGGTGTGGGTGTGGGTGTGTTTGAGTCAAGTGAAAATCCTCGACCACACCCATTCGTGCAGGATCCTGAAAAAGTATAGGAAAGATCGACATAACAAGGATAAGTAGGAATCACCATAGAATCCTAATCGAAGCTTGGCCGAATTTATTGGTTTAGGATTCTGACTAGTCTTGTATTATTCCTGATAAGATCCTCGTTTGATATAACTATAACTCTTGACAGAAGGGTGGGGTGGGGTGTGGGTGTGGGTGTGGGTGTGTGGTGTCAGTGTTGGGTATGGGTGTAGGTGGGTATGGGTGTGGAAAACAACATCACTGCCTACACCTACACCCACACCTACACCCGCACCCACACCCACACCCACACTCCACACCCACACACCCACACCCCAAAACTTGATGAATTCTATAGCTACAATCCCCGGAAGAATGTGAAAGCTGTCTTAGTCGTCACATATAAATAATCAAGAGAAGATATTTTGTATCTGGATTAAGGGAGCCCCCCCTCAGAAAATCCATTTTTTGGAAAAGTAATCGAAGTCGAGTTTTTATCATAGGAAGATGCAGCGAAGTTTCCTCTTTCAGAATATATATAAATTTCTAAAAAAGATCAAATTTTTATAGACCTTCGTAGGAGATTTTCACCTCAGTACCCGGTTTTCGGAGAGATTTTCGCGGTTTTTGTTATTTTTGGAGAGACTACTTTTTTAATTCTATCAGCATAAAATAAACATTCTTATATCATATAGTACGACCTGTAGTGCTAGCTTA